ATTTCCTAGTAAGGGTGAGGAAACAACCTCATTTTACAAATGGAGTGATTAAGCTATAGAGGCCATGAGTCAGAAAGGTACTTCAGCATGCGGCCAGCTTTAAAGACACAAACAATCCTAATGAAGTCAGCAGCACTGTCTGTGAGCTTAAATTTAGACACAGACCTGAAAATATCTTCTTAAATTGGGATCAGAGACGAAAAGTGTCGAACCTTAAAAAAAAACCCCAGCAAACCACTTTTAGCCTACCTGTTCACTACAGACACAGGGATGGGGACACCATAACAGCTGTAAGCCAACCACTGAATGCCTTTGCAAACTCTCCTCAGGGGTCTTGCCCATGGGCAGCACTATCACAGTTGCCTTGAGTCCTGCAGCTAGAAGAAGCTGTCTCATCTGCCTCATACTGGTGTCTTAGCCTGGTCTGAGCAGAAGGTGACTGCACTTCCTTGACCTCACCATCTGGCAGGACAGCTCTAACACCATCACTTTGGACCCACTTGGTGAGGTCCACAATCAGGACAGGGATTTACTTCCAGGCCCAGGTCACCAATCCTGTCATGATTTGACTTCCCAACTGTCCTCCTGACCAAATATTCACATGCTTTTATGCACTACTGCTGTGATGCGGCCAAAATCGGGCTTTATTCATTTAGCCACCCAAGTCTATTACCTATTCCAAATACACAGTCTAACTTCCTAGGGCTGAGCTTAAGTTCAAAAGCCCCACAGACATCAAGGAGGTCTCTGTGTTGTTCCCCATCAGTAGAAGAACCTACGCTGAACATCAGGCACAGGCAACTGTTATCCTGTTTAGACGGAACCAAATCCAGTGGTCTCAAAGCACCAGGGCAGTAAATAACAACCACTGAGCACATGGGGAAACCTAGTGATGGAAAAATGAAAATTATTTCACTTCCCAGGCCAGCTGAGGCGTCCAACTGAAGCCAACTGGGTCTTCCCCACCTGTTACAGCCACAAAGAGGAATGAACTGCAGAGTCCAAGGGCTGATAACTGTGGTGAGTAACTGAGCTTGCCTCTTTGTCTGGTCACCCCAGCCTCTAGTCTCAGCAATACTCTTTCCCCTTCTGAAAATAAAACAGCATTTTTCACCCATTACATAGCAAACTTGTTTAATCACTAGACACAGCAGCATGATAAGAACAATAATTTTAACTGGAGGGGGCTTCCTGTTATCCTGGCTATAGCCATATCCTGAGCAAATAAAAACTTAGGCTTTTAGTCCCAGCACTGACATAGCTTTAGCTCTGGTTATTATTTCATAAACAGGAAGCGTCTCTGAGTTATCATCTCCCTGCATGAACTTTGGGGTAAAGACCTTTACTCTGCCTCACTGGGGCCACCTCCCTGACGAGCAAGTTTTGTGTGCTTTGGTGAGATTTAAGGATGCATTCGAAACCCAGCAGGGCTGGCCTGTTTCTAGCATTAAATGCGATCTGATCCACAATGAGTACAGGGTCAGATTTTCCGGCTTTCCCGGCCCCACGTGTGACAAGGATAGAGTGCAGGCAGGTCCCTGCCTGTGCTGAGCTCCAACAGTCGCACCGGTGGTGAGGTGCAATTTACAAATATTACCCAGATTAATTCCATGAGCCACCCACATAGAAAACTACCGATGTGGCAGCTAAAAATACTCCCTGAATTGCAACAAAGTTGTCAAGAATAAGTAAGAAGCTAAGCGAAAAGGAACAAAACCAAAACAGAGGTAATCACTGTTTAGAAAATAAAGGTTAATACACATAAATACCTCTCTTTACGCAATTGTGAAGGATGCCAGGTATGAGACGCCAAGGAAATCACTGGAGACACCCATCCTAGGCAAAAATCCACCCACAGCCTGTGATGTCTGGCAGACTCCCCTCTTAAACTGGGGTCTCTCCTGGACCATAGAGCCTGGCTCTGGTCTCTGCACAGTAGGAAATGTCACAAGGTGAGTGCACAGGTGAGAGTAACAGTGCCTAGAAGAGGGTCCAGAGAACCAGGTTCTTGCCTGGCTCAAGCCATTCATCTTCTCTGTACCAAGCCAGTACAGCCACTCCTGATAAAGCCACATCTCTAGTGCTCAGAAGGATGGCAGCCACTAGTTTGCTCCTAGTCTGGAGCAGAGGCCATGTAGGATTACACCTGATGAGGTCTGCTTTGAAACTCAACTCATTTCCTTGTACAGCTCACAAACGAAACTAAAAACCAGGTCAAACATTGCACAGCAGTGTTACTTCTGTTTTGTTTCACTTGTTATATTTTTATGTCCTTCATTTTACTGCTAAGCTCTCCACCACCCAGAAAAGAGGGAAAAAAAAAAAAAAAGGATGAGGAAAAACCCAGGAGAGGAAAAGAGCAAAACCTCCAAATTCTTTAAAACAAATGGGAAAATTCTCCTGGCACAGTGTGTGTGGGAGAGGAATTCACACCAGATAGTCACTTATTTATCATGCCTCGCCTATTAATATCAGGTGAGACACCATTCTGCTTCCCAGAAATGGTATTTAAGCCAGCTGCTCTGCACAAGCACACACCACCCTCACCTGCACGTCAAGAATGCTGGGTGACTTTCTGCGTGTGCTCTATGTTACCACTCACTTCAATTTCTACTGGAACCACTTCATAAGGCCTTTGAGGTGTCACATTTCCTCCCAGGATGCTTTTTGTGTCAAAGAGCCTATGTTCTGAAATCGGTACGGCGGGGATACGGTTTCACCTCCCCTGGCCTGCCTTGCGGTGGTGGCGGTGGGCGCGCATGTGTGCCACCTGAGACCGCCCGGCCGAGGGCAGGGGCAGAGCCGAGCCTGCCCGTCGCAGTGCTGATCCGAGCCCTCGGTGCCTGTGCTCTCCTCAGCGGCCTCACTCTACCTGATGCTCCGCAGGAGGGCTGCAGACCGAACTGCTTGTGCACATAACGCGAGGCTCGCAGGGGAGGATGGCAGTCCTTGCCTCCCTCCAAGGAGGAAATTGCATCCTCTGCGATAAGTAAGTTTTTATCTATGCACTGCGATATTGCAGGAAATTCTAAGGACCTCTCATGGCAACTAGGAGGCGAAAAACAATCATTAACCCCTCCTCCACCTCCCTCGAAGCCATTCAGCAATTTAACCCGCAAGCATACAGCAACACAACGGAGATAAAACAATTTCTATCAGCCTTTACGCTATCTCCGGCTCCTGCCATTTAGGATATTCACGTATTTTGAGGCTAAAGGCATGCTGCACAGCCTGACCTCAGACCCTTCCGTATCTGCTGCGGGTAATTTGTTTCTACGGGTCACTTTCAGGGTATTTTTTCCCATCTGCTCTCTTTTTCCAGACAGCCAGAAGCAGGGGCGCCGCTTAAGTTAGGATGCTCTAAGGAACCGCTAAACTTCCACCGCACGCTCCGGTGCAGCACCGCCGCCCCCTCCTCAGAAAGAAGCCGGCGCCCTGCTCGCCCCGGCAGTGGCCGAGGCCTCTTCTCCTCTCCTCTTTCCTCCCCTCCCCTCCGCTGCCCTGCCCGGCTCCAGGGAGGCGGCCGTGCCGGCGCTCGCCCACTGCGGCGCGCCGGGAAGGGGAGCGCGGCGGCCTGACCGCAGCGCCCGCGGCCTCTCCACCCCGGCTGCTGCGGACCCGCCGCTCTCCGAGGGGCCCCGCACCGCCCCGCACCGCCGCCGGATGCGGCCCGGCGAGGAGCGAACTTCAGAGCAATCGCCGCATGACCCCCCCGGCCGGCGGCGCCCGCCCGGGAGGGGCTGGGGGGGCTCCGCGGCCGGCGGTGCGATGCCGGCCGGGCCTCACCGGCCCGGTCACACCGCGGGGGGCCAGCCGCCGTCCCTCACTCCGGCGGCCCCGTGCCCGGCCGCGGCGAGCGCGGGGAGGGCCGGCTGTGCTCTCCGCGCTAAGGAAAATGCTCCTCTTTGTCTGCCCGCCTCCGGCGGGGTCCGAACTCCGAACAGCGGGTGAGCCCGGGGCTGCCCAGAAATAACCCGGCGGGCCACCGGTAACTTTACACCGCCCGCCGAGCGCCCTCCGCGCGGGCGCCGCAGCCCGGGCTCGATTTCCTCCTCAGATAAGTTTTACCGGCCTCGCCATGGGGAGGAAAGTAGTGTGTCCCCGTGCCGCCCCCCGCCCCCCCTCCGCGCCCGGGTCTCCGCCGCCACGGAGCGAGCGGCCCCCGGGCGGGATGGCGCGGCCGCCGGGGGATGTCCCTCCGCTTTATGTAACGCTCCCCGGGCAGCGCCGAGCCGGGAGGGGTGACGGGGAAGGGTAAATGCGTCGCGAGGGGATTTAAATTAACCTCCATACATCTCTGAATTTTTCTTTTTGAACAGACACCCTGTACTACACACCGATCTAACACACACAGCTGTATATATACACACACAGATATATACATATATATAATGTGATTTTTTTAACCTGAAAGAAACTAAGTTGGGGTACTTGGGCTTCTCGCCGCAGCCCGGGCTGGACTGAAGCAGAAGCCAGAGGAGCTGACAGCAGGCTCCAGCAGCCCCGTTCCCCTCCGCCGCTGCCGCGGAGTCCCCGCGCCTCGGAAGAGAGGAGCCACGGCGGGGGGAAACTCCTGGGAAACCGGCGAACGGAGAAGGGTAGCCGGTCCTGGGAACGCGAACTGCGGCGAGGGGCAGGCAGGCAGCAGGCACACACACACACACACACACAGAGACACACACACACGGAGGCGCAAGGCAAGCTCCGTCCACCTCATTGTTCTGCTCGGCACCGGCACGGACTTCACCCACCGCCCCCCGCCGGGGACCGAGCGCCCGGGACCGCGGGGCCGGGGACCGGCAGAGCCGGGGGGCGACCCGCGCCTCGCCCCGCTCCCACCGGGCGCCGGGCAGGGCGATGGTGCCCCGCCGCCTCCCCGCAACCTCGGCCGGGGCGACGGCGAACCGCGGGCGGGCGGCCGGGGACCCCCTGCTCCCCCCTCCCTCCCACGCTGCGGCCGGGCCAGGGGTGCCGGCGGGGCCGGCCGTGCCGGGGCTTACCTTCGTACATGGGGGCCATCGGTGCAAGGACGCCTGTTATTCATGGCAACGCCGCCACGAACGACGCGAGATCGCAGCCCCCCAAACTCAACACACATCTGCCATCTTGAGCGGGTGTCTCTCGGCGGAGGCGAAGCTGCCGCCTGCCTTCTGCATCGCTGCCCACCTCAGCGCGGGGGGAGCCGGGCACATCCAGCCCCGCTGCCGGCCCTCCGACGCGGCCGGGGCGGGCGGGCGAGCGGGCGGGGGGCGGAGGAAAGGAGAGGGAGGGAGGGAAGGAGGGGGGCTGGCGCCGTGCCCCCGCTCTCAGCGCGGCATGGCTGCGTGTACCGGGGCGCCTGCAAAAGTTGCACTGGGGGTGAGAGAAAGGGAGAGAGAGACGGAGGGAGAGAGAGGGAGACGGAGACCGAGACGGAGAGGAGGAAAAAAAAAAAAAGAAGGAAAAAAAAAAAAAACCAGCGAAGGGAGTTTGCAAATAATCATGCGCCGATGGCACCGATCGCGGCTTCCCAGAAGGAGCGGGAGCGAGCGAGAGAAACCCTCTGCTGAGATTATGTGGGATCTTGTTTAACAACACATTTCAATCAGGAGAAAAAAGGAACAGTCAACAGAAGTTGGTGAAACACTTCTGTCTTCCCCCCCTCCTCTTTATAGAAAAGAGAGGAAAGGAAAAAAATAAAAAGGCAGCTGATTGAAGCTTTGCAACTCACTGGCTGTGGGGATCATATAATTTGTGCTCATGCTTTACAATAGCATGGAAAATTCCTACCTCTCCCCCTCTCCCCAAATAAATCTTCTATTCCCTCAAGGCATTTCACAATCTGGTTCACTGACAAAAGTTCCAATTTATCTTTTTTTTTTTTTTTTTTTTTTTCGTTTAGCTCGCTTGCAGTGTAAATATTTAGCGGATGCATTTAAAATAAACATACGTGATTGCTTTTAGGAGTCAGGTTGTGTTTTTGTTTTGTTTTGTTTTAATAGGAGCCACATCAAAGAAGTGTTTACTAACTGAGATTGACAGCCTATTCTTCCCCTCCTTCTCTTCCCTCCCCCCCCCGCCCCCAACCCCCCTGGTTTTTTTAATTTTAAATCATCCTTCTCTCCGATTGAGCTGTAGGAGCACCAACCCGACGAGCATCATTTTTGTCGGTGCATAGAGGAAAGCTGTAGGTGAAGGCACAGGAACCCCCTTTGCCTGACAGGAGCTTTACAAAGGAAGGTCAGTCACCAGGTACCCATTACGCAGGCAAAGGAAACTGAGACTCATGCAGAGCCTCTGGCAAAGGTGGAAATAAAACCTCGGGCTGTGATCCTGCATTAAGAGCCGTCTGGATCTGCCTGCCTGGAGCTCCTTGCAGATGAGCAGTAGTCTGGGACTGGACCGGTGAAGACGTAACTCCCTTTGTGCCTGCTGTGCCTGCTGATCCCCCAAAACGCTGCCTCTGCTGCTGCTGGTGCCACCCAGACCTGTCCCACCGCAGCTCTTGGTCGCAGCAGGGCTCAACACCCGGCTACTCCCACTGATGTCTCAAGGACGAGGCAAGAGGTAACTTTTACTGGGGGATTTCGGTGTGAGCCAAGCGCTCCAGCCAGCCTGGCCCTTGTCTCGGGGTGCTGCGGGTGCCTACGCTGGCAGATGAAAGCAGGGCAGGGAACAACCCCTGCTGCCCAGCCGATGGAGCAGGATGTGATCCCCAGGCTCCTGTGGGCCATCTTTGTTTGGAAGGTATCTTCAGTGTTTTGCATGATTTTTCTCCCTCCCCTGAAAAATGCCTGAAACTACAGGAGAGCTGTCTCACGCCCCATTAGCATTCTGTTTGCAACATGAAGCTGAGGATACATTTTAAATGTGTCAGGGAGTGCCACGCAGGGCTGGTGGAGATGATTGAGGGCTCAAAAGTGGGCTGGGATGGCACTGGAAGAGTACGTACAGCAGAGGGAGCAAAACCTGCTCCCATCTCGTCCCTGCTTCATTTTGAGAGTGATCCCGAGATTAACCACCACTAAATCTTGGAAAGAAATGGACCTGCCTTCAGCTGGACCACTGGGGAGGTCCAGGCCAGAGATGGAGGGCAAGCATGCAGATGACAGCAGGCACAGTATTTGAACTTGTTTCCTGTCCCTCTTTTATTTAGCTATGGTAACCCTCAGGGTTCAGCTCTACGCATGAGTTGAAAGCCTCATATTTTACTAAAACAAGTTTCTGGTCATTGTAATTCTGTACTGCTGCCTTCTTTATGATGGAGAACCTTATCTGCTTCCCAAGGCTACTGATGCTTCTGATCCCAGCCTGCCTCCCTGCAGGAGGAGCCTGTGGAGAAGTGTTGGAGAAATGTTGGAGAAGAGCAGAGGAGAAAACTGGAGGAGTGGGCTGCTACGGGAACCACCTTCACTTCCTGGCACTGCATTCTGCTGCAGCGTGGCTCCAGGTCAGTCACATCAGCCTCGCTCTCCTCAGCTGCAGAATGGGGGAAGATGTGCCAGTCTTTGCTGTGTGAGACTGCACTGATAGTTTCTTCTTCCTTTCTTTCACCCTGGGCTATCCCGTAGCCTGTGGGGGTCTGTGTCAACTCCACATCCATCAAAGCTTGCATGACACAGGAGCTTAAAATATAAACCAAACCCACTCCTTGCCAGAAGGAAAGGAGGAAGGGGTCATCAGAGATGTCTGCAGGACTCACCGTGTGGCCTGGGCATGCAAGTGGTGCTCCTTGGCCCTGTGGCTGATGGGTGGAGCACAAAGGGGGACACAGGAACATCCAAACCTGTGTGTGACATACTTAGGCAAATGCTAAAGCTGTTGGCTTCAAAGCCCAGATTAATCTGCTTGTCTTAAGGAAAAGGTGCTGAACTTGATGGACTGCTTGGCTGGTCCAGGACAGCAATTCCTGAATGCCTCTCAGGTTCAGTATTACCAAGGACATTATAGATTCTCATCCACTTACAATTTGTCCAAAGATAGGAAAATTAATGGACACATTTTCACCAACAAGGACTGTTCTGATCTTACATGTTTTTAAATGTTGTTACCAAATGAGGCCACATTTGGTAAATAAAACTCAGCCCAAACAGGTCCTGACCTCGGCCCCAGATTGGCTGTGAAAACATGGTGAATAGATAATGCTGGTGTTTTCTGAGCATGTAGAGGGAGCAGGGACATGCCCAACTAGGCACAGCCTTCCTCTCCAGCTCACACAGGGGCCTCCTCCTGGCTGTCTCTTTCAGAGAGGACTTGGGGGATGTGATTGGAGCTAAGGAGGCACAACCCCTTGCTCTACTTCCCACTGCTGTGAACAGATGGGGATGCACTCTGGAGATGGCCCAGCTCTGAGCCTGCAACCTTCTTTCCATTCTCCCCAAAACTGAGCATCCATGCAAGGGTGCTACACCCTTTGTCATCTGGGTTCTTGAGCTAAGGCCAGAGCAGTGGTGTGAACATGCCTGTGGTGTGCACATACCTGTCAGGAGCCAGCTGTCAGCAGTGCAGCTGCAACAGCCCTGGGGCAAGGCTGTTCTGCTGGAGACATCATGGTCCACTCTCTTCCTGCCTGAGACTGCAGGGAGTGTCACTAAAATTTTGAATCCTGAGAGACTTTCCCACCTCAACAGACTACCTCTTCTCTTTGTCCCCTACACTTTGTGGGAGGATGGCAAGCCAGCACCGGAGAAGCACCTTTTAATGCCTCATCTGCGGGTTTTTTCATTTTTCTATTTGCATATTTGGATCTCCCATAAACACAGCCCTAGTCTGGGTGCAGGTGCATGGCGTGCTCAGGTGTGTCATGGAGCACCATGTGCCACCAGCAGCATGCCCAGCTATGTCCGACCTGGCTGCTGGGTGGTGGTGGCAGGTGCTGAGCCAGGGAAAGGAGGTGTGCCCTTTTTACAGCACTGGGCTGGCACTCAAAGCGTCTCCATTTCTCTCCACATACACAAATCTTGGTGGTCTTGGCAGGTAACTCCTCCATTAAGGCACCTGGTGTTTCACTGGGGTGTCCCAGGGGCCTGCTGGTAACAACCTGAGCTCCTTAATTTCAGTGGGAGCAACAGGAGTTGCTGTTTCTTGCTGGAATTGGAGAGAGTTTCGGCTTCTTTTTATTTTCCCTTAGAAATTATTACAGATTTTGGAAGTCAAGTTTAAGAAGGATGGCAGATGAGTTCTAAAACATAATTTTTGGTCATCATTCCCCTTTTAGGGGAGTTGTGTGAGTGGAAACAAGATGCCCTTTGGTCTCTCAGAGCCAGAAATGCTACGGTGGTTTCACCTGCTCTTCTTTGGTGCCTCTGCCAGACCCTGCCTGCTCTGAGGCTTTGCCAGAGGTGCCTGCTGCTGAGATACAATTTATTCTTCTTCCCCCCAAAGCTGGGGGGGGTCTGTGGCTCCCAGATTTCTTGGTTCAGTGTCCATCCACTGCACTTATTTCTTTGGAGAGACTGAGCCTAAAACTGCACTAATAAAAGACTGCATGGTATGTTAAAAACAACACCAACAATGAAAACATAACAAACCAAAAAAAACCCACCAAAAAAGCAGAAGAGAAAGGCTGGAAGCACACAGGGTGAGCATGTCCCCTTCAATGACAATCTTTGATACCCGTTTGCCTTCATGGTGCTTCATTTTGGTGGAGCTGAAATGCAGCAAGTTGTTAAAAAGGATCAGGCCCCAAATCTTTCACATTAAGCAAAGCAAAACTTTTGTTTTAACACCAGGGGAAGGTTTCCCAGTGAAATACACATAGTTATTTTCTTTTAAAATGTAAATCAGTGAAGGAATGGACAGTTTAATTAAAAGCAAAATTATTAGGTAAGTGCTGAGGGAATCTACATTATTTGCTGGGTACATTCACATATTTTTACTGGTGAGTCAATTGCAATTTTTAATTTTTTTCCACCTAGTAAGACTAGCTCAGAGAGTAGCCACTGTGATGTGGAATATTTGGAGAAGGGTTTTTCCATGGATAGCAGGAATGTCTGTTCTGTGTGCAAGTTGTGGATGCCCAGGCAGCCTGCTATGTTATGTCCATTACATCTCTGCTGATCACAGAATATTCTGAGTTGGAAGGGACCCACAAGGATCATCATTAGCAAACACTTGCTATAGGCTACCTCTTGGCATTACCTGGAGAAAATCCTGTCCCTTGTGACAGGGATTTTGGGTTGCTGCTAGTGACTGAGGCTTTCAACGTCACCTATCCCTCCACAGACAAGGCTTTTTGCCAGGCAGATGTTTTGTGGAAGTCCCCCTGCCCT